TTCCCCGTTCGTTCTCAAAACCATGGAAGGTCGAGTTCAAACTTAATTGGGGATCGCACGTCGGGATTCCCGTATTCGGTGAAGACATCCGAAGCTCACGAATCTTCGACTGAAATTTTCCGATCAGATCTGCCTGGCGTGACGCCGACTCGGGTTTTAACTTCAACCGAGCGGTTCGATAACAATAATGTATCATTTGATGAAGACGACCCTGAGATGTTAACACCTCATTCGCCTTCAGTTCCCGATATGCTCTCTCACATATTTCCAACTCATTCATTTGGTGTATGGCATGGGCCTTTAACAACCATGGTTGGCCAACGTAAGCATATATTTTACCATTGAGGGCGGCTATTTCGGTGTCGGTCAGTACAGTATTTACTTCAGTTTATTATTTATTATTATTATTATTTTATTCTATGAGTATGTCGTTTTGAATATCCACTTTCACAAATAATGCCGCATAAATCGATCACTATTTGAATATTGCTTTAAATCTAATTACTTTAACAAAAAAGTCACGCTCAATTGGTTGTATATCTCATGTGATTTTCGGTCCAAAATTTTGTTTAATATTATACCGAACGTGGGCTGAGAAAGGCGTTTAACGCACTAGCTCGAATCTTTTTATGGACCAAGTTGTTTGCTTCCGGGATGCAGCGAAGGCCTTGAAAACTTGGGAGTATCACCTGTATCTCCTTCGGTCCCTTCTGTCGCCAACAAGGTACGCAATAAAGATCTAGACTATCCACCCCCGAATTTACCGGAAGACCAAATCAGACTGAGAATATTCAACCAGTTTGAGAATGTTAAACGAGATTACTTTGATACGAGTTTCAAATTTTATTGGGAATGAATACCCAAAGAAATTACAAAAAAATAAAGAAAAATTAATAGTTTGGTTCAATTAATATTGACCGTGTTATCGGTTACGTTGCTTAGACTTATACCGAAAGACGAAATGAAAAATTATCGGTTCAAAAATCTTGACCGTCGATGTGTGGTGTTACTTGATTAAAAAAATTCAATTTGCTTGCTTTTCAGAATTGGCGAACTGAACTGAACGAGAATGGTTATGACTGCTGATCAATGGTGTTCGCATCGCAGATCGATCACCATTCACCCCCGCGGAAATAAATAATCAAAATATCCACAAAAATTTTGATTGAAAACGAGCTCCAAAAAAAATCAATTAATTAGTGTGGTTATGTTCAACGAAAACTTATTCTTTTTCACCCGTTTAGTTGGGCGCCAATGATTTGCTTGACCTTGGTTTGTCGGTCCAAACCGGAATCTTTATTTACGGTTGATGGATAGCTCGTTTCCAATGGATGGTGGCAAGAAAGTGGCTGACTTACGTGTAATGATTTTGTATTACCGGCTTATGGTGACTCAATTGCTGTGAAATGAATAATCCGGATTTGATGCTCACAACTTCTTTATTATACGCAACAACATAGCTGGGGATTTGCCGTAAGGAATGTGACGGCACCTTTTGTCTCTATTAATTTCCACTGAGGGGTGAGTATCGACTCCCCGAATGTCGCCAGCTTTTAATACACGCTTTTAATCCACTTTAATTACTTGGTTGTAATTCCGTTCTTGCGAGGACTGATGAGTGTGGTTCGCTCGGTGTCCAATTCCAAAAAGAAAATATATTCTTCTAGTCTCGTGGCATGTGACCACCGATTCTCTTATCGTATGTCAGTGTGGGCGTTTTCATAGTGGCCATGTCAATTCGTGTCTATACCGATATGATGGTTCGTGTCTTGAATAACTATTGGTTACGTACATTCATCTGGCAANGAATGTCGCCAGCTTTTAATACACGCTTTTAATCCACTTTAATTACTTGGTTGTAATTCCGTTCTTGCGAGGACTGATGAGTGTGGTTCGCTCGGTGTCCAATTCCAAAAAGAAAATATATTCTTCTAGTCTCGTGGCATGTGACCACCGATTCTCTTATCGTATGTCAGTGTGGGCGTTTTCATAGTGGCCATGTCAATTCGTGTCTATAGCGATATACATATATATACATTTCTTATAATCGTTCTTATGTCTATTATTTGGGCAATATAAAATTATAGATCAACTTCGTCTTGTCCTCGTTTACCACCAGCCCCATTCGCTTTGCTTCCCTATCCAACTTGGAAAAGGCAGAACAGACTTCGCGGTTTTTGTTACCGATGATTTCGATGTCATCGGCATAAGCCAGCAATTGCACGCTCTTGTAGTAAATTGTTCCTGAGCGGTTCAGTTCTGCAGCTCTTATTATCTTCTCCAACATCAGATTAAAGAAGTCACATGAAAGGGAGTCGCCCTGTCTGAAACCCCGTTTTGTGGCGAACGGCTCGGAGAGGTCTTTTCCAATTCTGACGGAGCTGGTGGTATTGCTCAACGTCATTTTACACAGCCGTAAGAATTTTGAGGGGATGCCAAATTCAGAAATAGCGGCGTATAGGCAACTCCTTTNAGTTTTCCCAATTCTGACGGAGCTGGTGGTATTGCTCAACGTCCTTTTACACAGCCGTAAGAATTTTGAGGGGATGCCAAATTCAGAAATAGCGGCGTATAGGCAACTCCTTTTAGTGCTGTCAAAAGCGGCTTTAAAGTCGACAAATAGGTGGTGAGTGTCGATCCTTTTCTCGCGGGTCTTTTCCAAGATTTGGCGTATTGTGAATACCTGGTCTATGGTGGATTTGCCAGGTCTAAAGCCACACTGATAAGGCCCAATCAGTTCATTGACGGTGGGCTTCAGTCTTTCACACAATACGCTCGATAAGACCTTGTAACCTATGCTTAGAAGGCTGATCCCGCGGTAGTTGGCGCGAATGGCGGGGTCACCTTTCTTGTGGATTGGGCAGAGCACACTTAAATTCCAGTCGTTGGTGAGTGTCGATCCTTTTCATATTCTGCACAAGAGTTGATGCATACACCTTATCAACTCCGCGCCGCCGTACTTGAATAGCTCAGCTGGCAGGCTTTCAGCTCCAGCATAGTTGTTGTTTTTCAGCCGCGTTATTGCTGTACGTACCTCGTCATAGTCAGGCGGTGGAACGTCGACTCCGTCATCATCGACTGCGGGCTCGGGTTCTTCTTCTCCACAACTTTCCGTGCTGCTACCATTTAGTAGGGCGGAAAAGTGTTCCCTCCATAATTTAAGTACGCGCTTGTCATCAGTTACTAGTTCGCCACTATTGTTCCTACAGGAGTACGCCCCGGTCTTTAAACCTTCCGTAAGTCGCCTAACTCTCTGGTAAAATTTTCGGGCATTCCTCCTGTCGGCCAGCATTTCAAGCTCTTCGCACTCACGTATTTCTGCCTCTCTCTTCTTGTTGCGGCAAATACGTCTCGCTTCCCTCTTCAGATCCCTATAGCGGTCCCACATAGCGCGCGTTGCGCCCGATCGCAGCGTGGCCCTGTAGGCGGCATCTTTTTTCTCTGCAGCTTCCTGACACTCCTCATCGTACCAGTTGTTCTTTCGGGCTCGCTGAAATCCGACTACTTCTTCGGCGGCGGTACTTAATGAGCGGGAAATGTGGTTCCACTGCTCGCATATGTCGGTTTGTTGAAAAGTGCTCTCTGAGAGCAGGTGTGAGAGTCGTGTAGCGAAAGCGTTGGCTGTCTGTTGTGATTGCAGCTTTTCGACGTTAAGCTTTCCTTGCATATTTGGGCGCACATTTTTTGCTGCACATAGGCGGGTGCGTATCTTGGCTGCAACAAGATAGTGGTCCGAGTCGATGTTTGGGCCTCGGAGTGTGCGTACGTCTAAAACACTGGAAGCGTGCCTTCCGTCTATCACAACATGATCGATTTGGTTTCTCGTTTTTCGATCCGGAGACAGCCAGGTAGCTTGATGGATCTTTTTATGCTTGAACCTAGTACTGCATACTACCATGTTTCGGGCCCCGGCGAAGTCGATCAGCCTCAATCCGTTGTCGGACGTTTCGTCGTGGAGGCTGAATTTTCCGACGGTGGTTCCAAAGATCCCTTCTTTGCCCACCCTGGCATTGAAGTCGCCAAGCACGATTTTGATATCATGACGGGGGCAGCGCTTGTTTGTGCGCTCCTAGCGCTTATAGAAGAGATCCTTGGATGCCTCATCCATCTCTGCAGAATCTCGCTTTGATGCAGATTGTGGCGAGCGTCTTCCACCGGGGTGAACGACAGTACTCGGCGACGGAGTTTCTCTCCCACCACAAATCCAACACCGAATTTGCGCTCCTTTACGTGCAACTGTAGTAGACGTCGCAAGGCCCCAGACATCGCTTGCCTTGCCCCGTCCAACGCATTTCTTGGATGGCGGTGATGTCAGCTTTTGTCCTTACGAGGACATCAACCAGCCGGGCAGAGGCACCTTGCCCATTAAGGGTCCGAACATTCCTGGTGCATGCCCTCAAATCGTAGTCCTTTAAACGTTTGCCGTGCTCGTCATCATAAGGGGGGGTGTCATCCGAGGCTTTGCCTTGCTTCTTCACTGGAAGTGGTTTTTACGTGGCGGGTCCCAAGCCCAGCGCACAACCCATTGCTGGGACGGGGGTGGTTTCGCAACCAAATACACGTTTATATAGCGAGCCGCTTGCTCCAAGCAGACACCCGCTTGCAGCCGCACCTACTGGTGAACAGACGCTGCAGACTTCAGTGAGCCCTTAAACCGAATAAGTCAGAGTGGCCCCACCGAAGCTCCCTCTCTTTCTGCCGTGACCCAAGGCTCCACTCGGATTGGTTACCGCATACCGCACATGGGTTGCTCACGTTGCCCAGAGTGCGCGAACGAGGACGCAAGAGTCGGGATTGAGTATAGCCATGCAACTGTAACTGCATACCCAGCGCAATGACTATACCCCATTGCACCCCACTAATATTTTATACACTGAAAATAAAATTGCGTACATTTTACGAAAGTTTTCGTCATTTTGAGCCACGAAAATTTTCATTGATTGAACAAAACCGTTTTCGTACATACTGCGAAAATATGAGACATCACATCTTAGTACATTTTACGAACGTATTCGTACTATTTACGAGCGAATTTCGTACTACTTACTAAAGAATTTGGTACTATTTCTTTATTTGTTTACGAAATTTTTGTAAAATACACAAAATAGTTCGTATATTTAACGAAATTATTTTCCTAAAATCTGCGGTTGTTTCGTAGAACTTCCGATTGCTTTCATTCACCACACTGTAAAAAACATAAGGCGAATTATAACACAACACTTTTATTTTGTTTTTATTCTTAATTTTAAGCGTTTTCCTTTAACAAAATGTTTTGCAATGTTTTTATGTGGAGGTACTTGGCAGATTCGCAGCTTCTTCGATGTTTGTTTCCTTTCTCGACTATAATTAAAGGAAAATTATAAGGCGTCTGAAAGGCAAGTTCCAGGGAAAAATCATACATGTACTTACTTAAAATTTCATTAAGTAGTGTGTCTGTTCCTGGCGTGGGCT